CAGTGGAATATAAAATTTAGTTTATATGTAAATTGATAAAGATTTAAGATATCCAAGATCCCAGTCTTATGTATAGTACAAAAATAGTATTTTTGATGCATGATTTTTTTTCAAACGCTAAATAACTCAGTCAATTTACATGATAAAGTTTAATAGACTGGATATTCTTGATCTGTGAATACAGGAGCAGATGTGTACAGATTTATGACATCATATGATGACATCAAAATTTTGGTGGTCAGACAGGCAAATGGCCCCATATGATATTATGTTGAAGTCATTTTGAAATCTTTCTGAATCGTTCATGAATCTTTCATGGAGTCAGTGGTAGGCTCTGGCCTGCCCAAGCCTAGTAAATGGGGACTGTGAATGTCAGCCCGAGCCCCGATCGCTACCCGTCGAGTAGTGGCTCGCCCGGCCCCCGAACCGACGGGTAGAGAGACCTCCCAAGCCCGTTCGGGGGTCCCCGAACGAGTTTTTTTTGAAAAATTGTCTGCCCGAACCCCGACCGGGTTCCCCGCCGGGGACTCGCTGGCTGGACCAAAAAGGGTCCCTCACCCAGGTTTGAACACCGGACCGGGTCATTTATCGATATTGATGCCAAATACATTGAAAAAAAGTGTCCACTTGATGTTTAAATTGCACTCAGGGCCTCACATCACAGCCATGGCAGTGCTGGCAAGGTTCCCATGTGCTTGGTAGGGCCTCCCCTGACAATGGACTAGGTAGTTTTTACCTGTGATGGAGTGTTTTAAATACATTTTTTACTCGTCGGGTACCCGGCGGATAGTATTTTTTTCGATTTCTACGCCCGACACCCGACTCGCGGGGATCCCCGATCATCGGGGGTTGTAGAGCCTCCGCCCGAATCCCGGACCTATCGGGGACCCCGTCGGGTCCCCGATCGGGGGGCTGGTCCGGGGCTCAGGCTGATGTGAATGTAATCACATATCAGAATGGTATTACAGACAGTTTGAGGCATTGCCTTGTTAGGACTTGGAGACAAAGGAATATGAGATTGAGTGTTAGGCATCATTAAATTAACTGATTATCGAGTCACATGCGACTTGGAGACAAAGGAATATGAGATTGAGTGTTAGGTATCATCAAATTAACTGATTATCGAGTCACATGCAATGAATAGAGAGAAGAATAAACAGATCATTGGGCACAGGGACCAATGTTTTTTGCGGGAGGTACACCCCCGTGTTGCCGCGTGCTTGCTTGATTGGCACCCCATCTGTTTTTGCTGTTGTACACCTCATGAAATGTGTTGAACCGACCCCACCCAGAGGTTGGGGTGATGCCATTCCACATCCATCACCTTGGTTTAAAACCAATAGTGTGGTGTGACCAGAGACTCAGTTTGAGATGCCCAATCAGTGTAGAACTTATAACCCAACAAGGGTTATACAGAGCTGGAGGAGGATAATCTACTAATAAAAATGACTAGTAGAAGTTGTCTAAGGACTGCTCTTCTAAAACAACACAATCAGGAAAAGGCGCTGTTGTATTGAGTACAGGTAAGGCACCAGAGAAATATAACTTTCACACATATTTTAACTTCAAAAGCACAATTTTTATTACTATCAACACTGCTATAGTGTTATTCCCAAATGCTAACTGAAGAAAAATAAGCAATATCTTTGTGATATTATTCCCAATAAGTCTTTTTGACTATAAAACTAAAGTAAATTTCTCTTTATAGCTATAATAAAGGGTGTATTTAAGTGACCAGGTACTATTAAAATAAGTATGATGATAAACAAAATAATAACTGTGTAAATGATAAAGAAAGAAGGGGAACAACAGTCCCAAAATCATCTCAAAGTATATATAACAATGTACTCCAACTTTTACAATGGTCAACAACCTCAAAACCGATCAAAACCGCCCAAAAATCCCTAAAACCCTATGATGACGCCATGTAATGATTTTGTTACTAATAAATGATGCAATTTTCACAGCTAAAAGTGATCAATGACACAATAATATGATGTACAGCACTTCTTATGATGAATACAGGTGATTCTTGCAAACTAGCTGAAAACCAAATTTTGAGATTACAAATTTTTTCAGATGAGGTCCAATTTTTGATTACTAAAGTGCATCTTGTAGCCCTCGTGTTACTGATCATTTATGACACCCATATGACCTATTTCTGATCAGTGATGAGTAAGATATTGAGTTGTGAAGTTAAGGTTTTTAGTGTTACATGTTGACTTGTGACTGTAAATTCGAGATTCACACCAATTTCTTATTTGCCTTATAACCTTTTACATACACCTCCACAAATATTGATTTAAAGTTTGTACATTATGTAATCCACTCTTCTGTGTTGAATGAGCTATCTACCAACCTAATCTGATGTCATTTGACATATGTAATAAGCTGAAAACCTTCATTTTTGACAAAATTCACCCATTTTCTTCACTTTTCACAGCTGCTACTCTCTTTTTCTTGCTCATGTAATATGACATAATCCTCTATAACCTTAAAAATCCCGGAAAATCCTCTTGGCAACTTTAGATTTCACTATTACCACTATTACATATGCAAACTACATGTATACCTCTTGCTTACCAACTTTGAAAAAGTACCTTTTCTTTAATAACTCTTAGTTCTTCTTATCAACTTTCAAGATTAAAATTGTTATAGTATAATATATTTTTTTCTTTCATGTTATAACCTCATAATACCCATAACTTTATTATTACTACCCTAAAAACCATTTTCCAACCTGTATACATATATTTTTGAGTTTTTCTTATGTTTTTCTTTCTTTCTTTTTGTAATAACTTTGTAAATGAACTCTAATGATCTTAATACGTAATGTGAAATAAAATGATGTAATGTTAATCCAATGACCAATACATTAGCCTATAAGAGCTTCAATTGATCCAAAAACCTCCATTTCGAATTTTCTGTCCTGCTAAACTTTTCTAATAAACTGGTAAACTACTAAATATGAATTTTTTAATTGATGCCTTAAATTGATCACCACACCGGGTGTTTGGGAAAAAGGGGAATGTACCCATGTCTAAAACCGTTGGTAGATGATTAGTAAACATCATGCAGAGCTCGTGGAAAACCATTTGACTGACAGCAGGTCTACACCTAGTGCCACATGCAAGCATACGGGGGTGATGGCCAGTGCGTCCATGCGGTCATTGTCCGTCATTGAGGTCGGTGTGACAAAGTCTGCAATCGAGTTCTTGCCATTTGTTTGTGTAGTTTCAACAAGTAGTAATCCCAGACCGCGACGACCGTTGTGGCCACATCGGCCACTCATTTGAATGAAGTTGCAGGGGTCTTGCCGACCCACCACAATCACACTTCTAACTCTATGCCAATTTTGGCCCAATCCCAGTGCAAGGGTACAGCACAAAACGGCCAGATCCCCGGATACATACAAAGCGACCGCATCGAGCTTGGACTCAGGTCCAGTGTTGGTGTGGTATCTTTGAGCAAAAGATGAATGCCCATTGGCAGCTTCAGAGGGATGTCCTTGTGAGTTGTTGATTAAGACCAAGTATTCCAATGATGTGTTATGAGTACCTGAGTACAGAAGTGTAGGCGGAATGCAGTTTGTCGAGATGATTGAATGATGATCAAATAGACCCCGGAGTGAGGCCTTCAGTTGACGTTTGAAGGACCTTTGGATAAGTCAAAGTTCCGGCCGGGTTAGCTCGGCTCGCGGGAAACATACATTGCGACTGGATAGCTTGAGATTTGCCAGAATAGCGTGGATCGCCTGTGGTGTGCAGGTTGCCGTCATTAAAAGGAGTG